CAAAATTTTAACTTGGGCTGATCTTAATTAACTAAATGTATAAAATCTTTCAGTAGTTGTGTTAAAATGTGTGTGGTTAAAATGTTTTAATCATTAGTGGGTTCTTTTGATTTAGGTTTTAAAATCTATCAATAATCTATTGTGTATTTTTGGTTATATATTGTTGAAATTACGCCTTTTTCCACTTTGTTAGCTAATTTTATATTTTGCTTCTTAAGAAACCTACCTTTAAACACATACTTTCTAATTCTTTTTTAAATTAAGACCAGACAAGAAATGTGAATATTCAAGAAAATGTACTCTTCTTCGACTGCAATCAACACATTTCTTCACCAAACTCAATAAATAATAATCATTATAATATTAACCAAACTATTCATATTTTTAAACTACCCATGATAGCCAGCTTTGGTCTGAAAACAACATGTAAACCCACCTCTGGTGTTACATCTCTCGGGGCGAAGCCAGTGCCTCCAGTGGTGAGAATGAGATTGAGCTCTTTCTCATCACACCAGTCCACCAGTGTTTCCTGTTGGAAAACATGCAAAAAGTTAAACATTTATGAAAAATCTCCCTTGTGGAATATAGTAGAAGTAGCAATAAAGTCAAAACGGTGCAGTGATCTTTACCTTGATTTCATCTATCTCATCTGGCACTATCTTGTAGGCTGAGATCATGCCCCCCAACCTGAGTGAAGACAGAAAACAGAGACTGAGCAAAGATACCTGGTAGGGCAAGAAAAATATGGTTTCCTTTATAACAACAAACACCAAACAATCCTCATAACAAAAAAGGCAAGGCAAGGTACATTTATTTGCATAGCACAATTCAGTACAAAGACAAAGTGCTTTACATGATTAAAATATAGGAAAATAAAACTGAATCAAAGCAAGTAGGAAAAAAAAAAGGTTGGAGAACTGGAGACATGATTAGACAAAGCTTTTATGAAAGTAAATCTGAAAACTGGTCTATTTTATTACAGATTTACTTAATAATATCGGGTCATATATATAAAAGAAAAAAAAAGGTGTTGAGTATCAAAATATATAGAACACAGAAATAAAAAATTCCTTGGAGATTCTTTGGGAAAGGATTTTCCAGAGACTGACCAGAGAGTTAGGGCTGAGAAGTAAACACCTGGCGCCCTCCCGTGGTCAGAAAGAGTATTACACTACCTTAAAAATGACCAGGCTGAAGGTAAAGGAACAGAAAACCCTTATGTAACCGTTTTCTTTTTTTTTTTCTTTCTTCCAAGAGAGCTATTTTGGTCACTTTAGTGCATCATGTTTCTCCTCTGTGACACAAATGCCATAACACCGTCCTGCAGCCAACACACGGAAACAGAACCCCTATATCACAGTCTTTTGAGATACTTTTGGAATAATAAATATGGACCTGCATGGAGAAATAATAAGAACAATGCAGCAAGAGTTCTATTAAGAAAAACTATTGGACTATGACAGGTTTTTGACAAAATTTACAAAAGTATGAAACAAACCCTTAAATGAAATATGGCTTTTTTTAATGAAACACTGCAGCATCTTTAGGATGAAAGAGCCCATCCACACACACAGCTCTCCCCTCCTAACATTACTGTGATGAAATTGGAGATTTACCTTCGCTTAGTGTGCTTTGATGGGTGGAGAGTGGCTTTTGGCAGCGCTGTATGCATTCATGTGTGTTTATATAAGTTCATGCACGTACGCTCGTTCATTTATGTGTTTACGCGTGTTACACCTCAGGAGAGTAAAGGAGCTGTCAGGACAAATCACCTCTTGTGTGCTCCTGGGATTTTTCATGCCTCTCTGTTTCAGTCCAAATAAAAATACGGTCTGCACAAATAACTGGAGTTCCTTCCCAGCATTTCCTTGGCAGCTCTTCCTGTCTGGAGACTCCAATTGCTGTGTTGTATATTGCTTGGGAGGGAGTGAGAACTCCTGAGTACCTTTTGTTGTAACTAATGGGGATCCCGTTTCTTTGCTACCATGTATTTAAGATCTTCAGACAAATTGTTTTTCATGTTTTTGATTAATAATTGAACAGTTTTCATATTTGCATAATATATCAATAGATCTTACAATAAAAATTAAGCACTCTGATATAGACATCTATGTATTGTAAATTAGAGAGCACCAAGCGTCTTCCTAAATTGCACAGATTGCCAAATTACAGAAGATGAAAATTTAAAATACTGTAGCAAAGAAATTTGCTTAATCCATTTTTACCTGTTCATTATCTGCAGTTTATTAACAAACTTATATGGTCCATAAGTGATGATAATACTAAGACTATACTATGCATCTAATCCTTTCACAGTTTGAGTTGCTGTGCCCATTAACGAGCCAGCATATATTCTTTCCTTAAACCATTTTACAAAAATTGGAAAGCAAAACTTTATCAGATAACATCGCTAACTTGATTTCATTTGACCAAATACTCAAATAATGTGAATTAACTAAGATTAAAATACCATAAAGTATTTTGAAAGGATGATATGATGGCTGTGTAGGATTTTTATTGCAAAATTCATAAACACTGATGCTAAAGCTGCTAAGAATACTATTATCCATATAGAAGGAGGTTATGTACCATTACAGGTTGACATGCCACTCAGCACTGAAGAAGGTACAGTAAAAACAACAATAGATGGTCAGCTACAGCCAAAATATATAACCGGGGACCAATACGTCATCTGGGATGAAACTGAGATAAAATCTGTTGATGTTATGAAAATTTTAGCATTTAGAGAACATCAGGGAAATTATACAGGCATCTTAGCTCTAAAGTACATGACAGAATCATGCGTGACAGAATCATGTCACGCAAGAGGAAATGCTTCAACTGAAAAAAATAAATGGTATGATAATGGAAATATTTTATTTGCTATTGAAATAGAATAGAAAATCCCTTTATTGTCCCACAATGTGGAAATTCTTGTGTTACAGCAGCAAAAATATTATAGCATAAGTAGTCACACAAACGTGGACCTTAGAAGTTGTATAAAGATAACAGAATAAGTGACAGAGTTAAGAAAATAAACAAATAAAATACTGTACTGTACAGTGTTTTGCAATATAAATCATCTGGAAAGAATAAATAACCAATATATTGCTGTCGTGAAAAAAATAGCATCAACAACAGAGATGTGCAAAAATGACAACAGCGTGTTATTTAAGTGACCAAGACAGAAACTGTGCAAAGAATTAGCATGAATATAACAACTTATTGAGGTTGTTGGGAGCAGTGGTGGTTATAGAGTCTTAGAGCTGCTGGGAGGAAGGATCTGTGATAACGCTCCCTGGTGCATTTATTGTGCAGCAGTCTGTCACTGAAGGAGCTCTCCAGTTCAGCAACAGATTCATGCATGGGGTGGGAGACATTATCCAACGGAGATGTTATTTTATATTTAGACTTCATCCCGGAAGTATCAAGATGGCATCACCAGACATCAAACAGGAACTTTCCAAACAGATAAATGGCTTTAGCTGTAGATCTGTAATGATGAGTGCAATGCAACATATCAATGCTGCATAGCAAAATGTATGCCTGTATGATATGAGATCCATTTGTCCAACTCTGGGCTAAAGTTGGTCAGTGCTGAAGACAGATTTGTGCCTTTGTTGTGAATGGTGCCTTTTTTTTTTCTTTTTTTTTTACAGTGTCCTGTCTGGCAATGTGGCAATAAGAATAATTGTCTTGATGCCAAAAAGAGCCCAACAGATTTTACTTTCGCAAGTGAAGCAGTACGGCTATTGCCATAGTGTTCCGCTTGTTTCATTCATATAAATTGCTTTATTATAAATATGCAGGGAGTTTTACAGATTATATGGACACTGCAATCTAAGTAGAACAGAAAAGGAAAAAGAGAAAAAAAGAGAAAAGATGAAAGAAAGAGGATATAAAAGGGAGATAATGATAAAACTTTTTCAGTCTGCTTCATCGCCTGCAAAGAGATGTAAAAAGAANCTAAATGTTGCTTCCACCCATTGGTGGTTTTAAACAGCAGCCAACAGGGGCCAGGAGTCTGCAATCTTGGCTTCGTTGCTCATTTAATACACTAAATGATGTACTCTTACCTTGTTTATTTGTTTTTTTTTTTGTGTGAATGTTTGTTAGTCTTTCATTTTTTGCCCCCATAAAAGACCCCCTGACCCCCTTTGTAAATTTCCTCTAGAACCACCACTGTTTCCAGACCCTTTAAAGTCCCTACCCAAACATGTTGTGCTGTTTTACCAGATAAAATAGAAAAGGAGAGGTAAAACATTACCTTGGCAATAATATTAATCAGTATATCAGCAAAAAGAAAAATCTCATTATAAAAGGTATCTAAATGTGTCCATAAAGAAGTGCAGACATAAACCATCTGAAGTTGCAATGGTACAAAATGATGAAGAAACACGCAGGAGCATTTAGTGAACAGAAAGATTGATTTGATTAATTTGTGTGGAAACAGTTGGGATTCTTAAACACAAATGTGGATATAAAAAAACATATAGTAGGCATTATTTTCTTATTTGGTGGTATTTCTACCCTTTGACAAAAGAGCAAATTAGTTTAGGCCGCCCAAAATTTTAACTTGGGCTGATCTTAATTAACTAAATGTATAAAATCTTTCAGTAGTTGTGTTAAAATGTGTGTGGTTAAAATGTTTTAATCATTAGTGGGTTCTTTTGATTTAGGTTTTAAAATCTATCAATAATCTATTGTGTATTTTTGGTTATATATTGTTGAAATTACGCCTTTTTCCACTTTGTTAGCTAATTTTATATTTTGCTTCTTAAGAAACCTACCTTTAAACACATACTTTCTAATTCTTTTTTAAATTAAGACCAGACAAGAAATGTGAATATTCAAGAAAATGTACTCTTCTTCGACTGCAATCAACACATTTCTTCACCAAACTCAATAAATAATAATCATTATAATATTAACCAAACTACTCATATTTTTAAACTACCCATGATAGCCAGCTTTGGTCTGAAAACAACATGTAAACCCACCTCTGGTGTTACATCTCTCGGGGCGAAGCCAGTGCCTCCAGTGGTGAGAATGAGGTTGAGCTCTTTCTCATCACACCAGTCCACCAGTGTTTCCTGTTGGAAAACATGCAAAAAGTTAAACATTTATGAAAAATCTCCCTTGTGGAATATAGTAGAAGTAGCAATAAAGTCAAAACGGTGCAGTGATCTTTACCTTGATTTCATCTATCTCATCTGGCACTATCTTGTAGGCTGAGATCATGCCCCCCAACCTGAGTGAAGACAGAAAACAGAGACTGAGCAAAGATACCTGGTAGGGCAAGAAAAATATGGTTTCCTTTATAACAACAAACACCAAACAATCCTCATAACAAAAAAGGCAAGGCAAGGTACATTTATTTGCATAGCACAATTCAGTACAAAGACAAAGTGCTTTACATGATTAAAATATAGGAAAATAAAACTGAATCAAAGCAAGTAGGAAAAAAAAAAGGTTGGAGAACTGGAGACATGATTAGACAAAGCTTTTATGAAAGTAAATCTGAAAACTGGTCTATTTTATTACAGATTTACTTAATAATATCGGGTCATATATATAAAAGAAAAAAAAAGGTGTTGAGTATCAAAATATATAGAACACAGAAATAAAAAATTCCTTGGAGATTCTTTGGGAAAGGATTTTCCAGAGACTGACCAGAGAGTTAGGGCTGAGAAGTAAACACCTGGCGCCCTCCCGTGGTCAGAAAGAGTATTACACTACCTTAAAAATGACCAGGCTGAAGGTAAAGGAACAGAAAACCCTTATGTAACCGTTTTCTTTTTTTTTTTCTTTCTTCCAAGAGAGCTATTTTGGTCACTTTAGTGCATCATGTTTCTCCTCTGTGACACAAATGCCATAACACCGTCCTGCAGCCAACACACGGAAACAGAACCCCTATATCACAGTCTTTTGAGATACTTTTGGAATAATAAATATGGACCTGCATGGAGAAATAATAAGAACAATGCAGCAAGAGTTCTATTAAGAAAAACTATTGGACTATGACAGGTTTTTGACAAAATTTACAAAAGTATGAAACAAACCCTTAAATGAAATATGGCTTTTTTTAATGAAACACTGCAGCATCTTTAGGATGAAGGAGCCCATCCACACACACAGCTCTCCCCTCCTAACATTACTGTGATGAAATTGGAGATTTACCTTCGCTTAGTGTGCTTTGATGGGTGGAGAGTGGCTTTTGGCAGCGCTGTATGCATTCATGTGTGTTTATATAAGTTCATGCACGTACGCTCGTTCATTTATGTGTTTACGCGTGTTACACCTCAGGAGAGTAAAGGAGCTGTCAGGACAAATCACCTCTTGTGTGCTCCTGGGATTTTTCATGCCTCTCTGTTTCAGTCCAAATAAAAATACGGTCTGCACAAATAACTGGAGTTCCTTCCCAGCATTTCCTTGGCAGCTCTTCCTGTCTGGAGACTCCAATTGCTGTGTTGTATATTGCTTGGGAGGGAGTGAGAACTCCTGAGTACCTTTTGTTGTAACTAATGGGGATCCCGTTTCTTTGCTACCATGTATTTAAGATCTTCAGACAAATTGTTTTTCATGTTTTTGATTAATAATTGAACAGTTTTCATATTTGCATAATATATCAATAGATCTTACAATAAAAATTAAGCACTCTGATATAGACATCTATGTATTGTAAATTAGAGAGCACCAAGCGTCTTCCTAAATTGCACAGATTGCCAAATTACAGAAGATGAAAATTTAAAATACTGTAGCAAAGAAATTTGCTTAATCCATTTTTACCTGTTCATTATCTGCAGTTTATTAACAAACTTATATGGTCCATAAGTGATGATAATACTAAGACTATACTATGCATCTAATCCTTTCACAGTTTGAGTTGCTGTGCCCATTAACGAGCCAGCATATATTCTTTCCTTAAACCATTTTACAAAAATTGGAAAGCAAAACTTTATCAGATAACATCGCTAACTTGATTTCATTTGACCAAATACTCAAATAATGTGAATTAACTAAGATTAAAATACCATAAAGTATTTTGAAAGGATGATATGATGGCTGTGTAGGATTTTTATTGCAAAATTCATAAACACTGATGCTAAAGCTGCTAAGAATACTATTATCCATATAGAAGGAGGTTATGTACCATTACAGGTTGACATGCCACTCAGCACTGAAGAAGGTACAGTAAAAACAACAATAGATGGTCAGCTACAGCCAAAATATATAACCGGGGACCAATACGTCATCTGGGATGAAACTGAGATAAAATCTGTTGATGTTATGAAAATTTTAGCATTTAGAGAACATCAGGGAAATTATACAGGCATCTTAGCTCTAAAGTACATGACAGAATCATGCGTGACAGAATCATGTCACGCAAGAGGAAATGCTTCAACTGAAAAAAATAAATGGTATGATAATGGAAATATTTTATTTGCTATTGAAATAGAATAGAAAATCCCTTTATTGTCCCACAATGTGGAAATTCTTGTGTTACAGCAGCAAAAATATTATAGCATAAGTAGTCACACAAACGTGGACCTTAGAAGTTGTATAAAGATAACAGAATAAGTGACAGAGTTAAGAAAATAAACAAATAAAATACTGTACTGTACAGTGTTTTGCAATATAAATCATCTGGAAAGAATAAATAACCAATATATTGCTGTCGTGAAAAAAATAGCATCAACAACAGAGATGTGCAAAAATGACAACAGCGTGTTATTTAAGTGACCAAGACAGAAACTGTGCAAAGAATTAGCATGAATATAACAACTTATTGAGGTTGTTGGGAGCAGTGGTGGTTATAGAGTCTTAGAGCTGCTGGGAGGAAGGATCTGTGATAACGCTCCCTGGTGCATTTATTGTGCAGCAGTCTGTCACTGAAGGAGCTCTCCAGTTCAGCAACAGATTCATGCATGGGGTGGGAGACATTATCCAACGGAGATGTTATTTTATATTTAGACTTCATCCCGGAAGTATCAAGATGGCATCACCAGACATCAAACAGGAACTTTCCAAACAGATAAATGGCTTTAGCTGTAGATCTGTAATGATGAGTGCAATGCAACATATCAATGCTGCATAGCAAAATGTATGCCTGTATGATATGAGATCCATTTGTCCAACTCTGGGCTAAAGTTGGTCAGTGCTGAAGACAGATTTGTGCCTTTGTTGTGAATGGTGCCTTTTTTTTTTCTTTTTTTTTTACAGTGTCCTGTCTGGCAATGTGGCAATAAGAATAATTGTCTTGATGCCAAAAAGAGCCCAACAGATTTTACTTTCGCAAGTGAAGCAGTACGGCTATTGCCATAGTGTTCCGCTTGTTTCATGCATATAAATTGCTTTATTATAAATATGCAGGGAGTTTTACAGATTATATGGACACTGCAATCTAAGTAGAACAGAAAAGGAAAAAGAGAAAAAAAGAGAAAAGATGAAAGAAAGAGGATATAAAAGGGAGATAATGATAAAACTTTTTCAGTCTGCTTCATCGCCTGCAAAGAGATGTAAAAAGAAAAGCACAACCAACAGACATGGTACGAGACATACAATAAATTAACACCTAGATACTATCACTGAAGTAGTATTATTTAATCTGACATGTACTCTGTGTTACCTGAAGATAAGAATATGGGCTTACTGTATGGAAGTGAATCTCTGAGTACCTGGAACCAAGCACCTGCAGTTGTTTGTGAGAGTGCATGGGTGAGAGTGATGGTTTATGAGAGTTGTGAACGGTTCCTAATGCAGCTGGAATAATGAATAGAAGCAAAAACACAGCCGGCAGACAGAGAGGAAAAAGGGGGGTGGATGGTTGGGAGAGGGACAGTAGTTTTGGCCTGAAAGCTTGGACATCGTGGCCAAGTCGTATGATAAATAAAAGACGAGCACAGAAAGGAGGATAAAGATAGGAAGCTTGAATAACAAAGAGAGGCACAAAGTGAAAAGAGTGCAAAAAAGGGACACACTTAACAAGAGAAGAAGTTGGAAGTGTTTGTGTGTGCGTGTGTGTGTGTCTGCTGCAAATCTCAGTGGTTGTGGGACACTTCCAAGAAGAGACCCATCTGCCAGGGTGATTTTATTAATAATACACGCTCTTTGTAGAAAGCACTCAAACTCACTTTCTGTGCTCTCCTGCTTCCTTGCTTCTATTCAAACACACATAAACACACACTTCATCCAGGAAAGAGACAAAAACCTCCTCGGTCATCGCTATACTCCCAGTAGTAACCGAGTTGAGGCCATTAGAGATAAGTTGTTGGTCCATCCACATGTAGGAAAGCTCTCAAGGGGGGACCTCTCAGCATGTTTGCTGATGGTGGAAAAGATGGAGGAAAAGGACAAGCTCACCCCTTCAAACCTCCCCCGTGTTGAGAGTTCAGAGTACCCACCAAGGTGTTCCACTCACACATGGTAAACAATATGAACACACCCCAGAAAAACGCAATATTAACATGTCTGTGGCTAACTTCACACTACAAGGATTATTTGTGGAATAAATGTCATCAT